TGAGTAATTTTTTTTGTCTTTTGATGATTAATTGTCAAGGAACATATACAAGTGAATTAAACAAATTCAAATTATCTAAAACATATACAAGTGGATTCCAATGGACAAACTATTTGGAGATGGTCGTTACTGGTCGTGGTCATGACTTGTCCACAAAAGAAAATGTCCACTTGGACATGACCATTTGGACACGGTCAACCCATTTGATAGCTCTACGTCCTAGAGAGTCTTGATATCCGACTTTACTAGCTCCAACTTGAATGGAGGGATAGTTACTCCCTCTTTCTCCAGACCCTCGTAGATGTCCAATAAGAAGATCGCCTGACCCAGAAGCGACCTCTTCTCATTGACGACCGCCGTCTCCTGGCAATGCTGCTTTAGTTTCCTTAGTTTGGTCTCCATCCTCGTCAGCATCCTCTCCTCGGTCCGCTTCCTTTCATTTCCGATATCAAGAGAACGAGACTCTCTCAACCTTTTCGTCTCAGACTTCAACGTGAGCTTCAGGGAGCGGATAAGTACCTCAAGAGTTTGACACTGTTCTTGGGATGGGACGAGGTCCTTCCGAAGGATAGCGTTGGTGTCGAGCACTTCCTTCATGTCAGCTAAGAGCGACTCAACCCACGCACTGCTCTTAGCGAGCCACCTCTTGTACCCCTCCAACCGAGACTCCGCTTTCTTCAGGTACCGATCATAGTGTTCGAACATGTAATCGGTACTTCCGATTATCTACAAAAAGCAAATGACAACATGAGCGGCTGAAAGAAAAACCAAAAACAAGTAAGGAAGAAACTAAGGTACTTGAACAACGTGCTCCGACCAGGTAGCATATGCCTTAGCGAGCGAAAAGGTTGCCCGCCTTAGGCATACAATGACGCTCTCCTCCTTGGATACAGCTCATGAGCGCCGCACAGTCTTTGGGAAGTTGCAGCAAATGACTCCCATTACCCTTAAAGGAAAAATCGAAGTCATGGCGACTAGAGTCCAGGTCGACTTGCTGCTCTCCGCCAGTCCCGTCGTCAGCGACCAGATCCAGGATCGGGTTTGAAGTACCAGCATTCAGAACAGGTGGAGGAGCCTCGTTGTCAGTATGAGTCCGCTTACAAGCAGACCCCTCCGCATCATCGGTCCTGACCCGCTTACCCAACTGAGTAGCCGTGAGCTCATCCCGACGGGCTTGAAGCGTAACGTGGTCGGAAGGAGAAGCGGGCTCGTCAAAGACAAGGACGACCTCCTCGCTAGGCCCTCCGTGGACAGATTGCCGGCCTCCGTTGCCGGAGAGAGATCGGCTGCGAGGGAGGCCTTAGTGCCGTCCCTTGCTCCTCCTCGGCCTCCCTTCTCAATTCTTCCTCCCTCTTCTTCTTCAGCTCATCTTCCAGCAACCTCTGCCGAGCCGCGTAGTTAACTACGTTATGGGGGGCTTCACCTTCAGACCCTTTCCTACCTCGTGCTTAGTAGGCTGCTCTTTCACCAC